ATAAACTTTTGCAATCTGTAACTGCGAGGTCCATTTCGGAAGGCACGGTGTTCACGGAGATGGCAGGCTCTACTTTACATAAAGCATCGTCGGGCTTATGCCAGGCTGTTGAGGGATCATGAAGCCACTTCCAGTACAATCTAACCCATGACAATTGGTCCAATGCTGTCGCCAGTGAGGTGGTTTCAGCTGAGAGAGTACTCGTGACTACCCGTTGAATCTTTTTACTACCCCAGGATACTGGACTAATTGGGCATTCATGATTTTTGATGATATCGGCATGGGTGCATACTATTATGTTACCGGCATATGAATGAGACTTGTTGCTGGATGCGAATGAGGCATCGGAAAATACCATGAAACGCAACTGATCTTCAGGAATGGGCTTAATCGTGATGGTCATGTCATGGTGTCTCTTGGCTTCATGAAGCAACCGGTTGGCTTCCAGCAAAGTTTCCACAGTGGCTGAATTGATAGCTGACTGGAGTCCAGAAAGGCGATTTGCCAGGTCAGGCCGGGTATTTGTTGATGCATACTGTAGGGATCCCACTAAACCTCGCAACAAACCCTGTTCTTCATTAGTGATGGTTAACTCAGGTTGGGTGCGTCTATTTGGATCAATATTGATAGGGGATATTTTTCGGACGTAGGAGGATTGATTTAAGGAAATACTATAATCACCATGTTGGGTCATGTCAACTCCGGTGAACGTGAAAGCTCCACTCTTTTTGGATCCAAAGGGATATTTTTGTTCCAATAGTTTGACAACCTTTTGGAATTTTTCTCCGCCCCCTCCAATACCATCATCGACATGGATACCAAGGATGCCAACTATCTTACCAGTTGCTCGATGTTTTGGGTCTGGTTGGTCATCGGGGTGTTCAGGCACTTTGGAGTCTTCTCTCAACACAAAGATGCATGGATCAAAAGGGCAGGCTTCCATTCCAAGGCGGATGAGTTCTTGCACCAGTGCGCTATACCAAAGAAAAGGAGCATCGATAAGACCGTAGGCACCCTTGTTGAGACGACCGATCTCATGAGGTTGCATGTTCAACGCTTTTCTAAGTTCGGGCACTGGATCCACTGCAATCAGTCTCCCCGCCTGTGGCTGTCCCTGCAAGAACGCTGCCTTGATATCGAATGACTCCATTGTCCAGCGATGAGTGGCCAAGACTTGCAACAACATCATGCGTGACGTTTTACTCATTGTGGGGGAATCTCTTGGGATATTTTCGATGTTAGGATCCATATACCCCAGAACAACAATTCTGGCCTTTGCTTTGTGGGTCCTCTGTGACGGATTTGCTGTATCGGCACCCGTCTGATCAATGGGTTTCCAAGTCAAAATCCATCTACACCGGAGTATTTGGTCTGAGGGCACTTGGTTTTTGAGGATTTTACTGATGGTGTCAGTGCCAACCCAGTTTGAGACCTCTGCTTGTTTGGCTCCCTCAAATTCCATCCGTTCTGCATTGGATAGTTCGGATAACCTAACTTCAGATCTTTGCTTTTTCGCATTGGTTACCAGAAGGGCCCATGCCTCACTTTGGGAAGGTGGCCGATGTCGATGACACTCTGGGATAGTCATCTCATACTCACATCGCCAGGCAAATTGGGCAGGCACTTGGTCATTCAGAACACCCGGCTCATCACAGCTGGTAAGGAAGAGAGGTTGTGCATCTTCCTGTTCTGAGTCTTCCGGAGGGTCTACAACTGGAGAGAGTTGTCTTGATGAAAGGTCTGGCTCATGATCTGGTTGGGCTATTGATTCACTTGATTGGCTATCTCGACGTTCGGGAATTTGGGGTTCTTCGGGAAACTGAGTATTTTCTACATTGGAATCATTGAACGGAGTGTCTTCATCTATCGGAGGTAAGCTGTTGGGATCTTGATTCATGCGTCGGATCTGATTCTGCAATTGTGTCAGATCCTCGGGAAGCTCAGAGCTGTCAGGGTGTCCCTCCTCAGGCAAGGCCAGTCGTACATTCTCTGGTGCACTTCTGAACAGTCGGCCGGATTGGGAGGTCCAAACAGTATGGTCTGATTCTTGGACGATGGTTCTTTGAGGGCCCATCCAGCCTTTTCGATTTGGACCTTGGGTCCTCCAAATCATGACCCACTGTCCTGGCACAAACTGTCCTCGTGATGGACAGGATCGTCGCAACTTGGCACGCCGCAAGGCATTGCTGTTGTCTGCTGTATGGAAGGCTTGACGGGCTACTTCACGGAGTTTGAGCATTTGTTTGAAATCCGATGGACTTATATCCTGTTCTTCTTGAATTGCTGATGCATGAGAAGGGATTCCATCATCATTTAGAACGGATCCGGGAAGTCTGCTTTGTTTACCAAACACTATGAGCTCGGGGCTGTACCCTTGGTGGCTGCTTAAGCTATTTTTGGCCTGAGTGCATTGGTTGAGGGCCAACTGCAGATCTGTATAGTTTTGGATTCCAAGTTCCAAATCAATTTTGGTGAGCATATGTTGTATGAAATCCCCATGGCGTTCAATCTTCTCATTCTGCCAGTGTGCCTCCAGGCAGGTGGTTTCACAGCGAATGCCAAAACGCTGGTTGAACTCTGCAAATTCCTGACTGTTGAGTTCAGTGCCAGAATTTACCTTAAGTTCTTGAGGGGCTCCTGCCCAGTTCATCCAGTGCTGGCTGAAAAGTCGGATAACATCACCTGACGTGTGTGCTGGTGCTATGAATGCAACATGAAAATGGGTTCCGGCATCTAACACATGATAAAATTGGAACGACTGACCCGTCTTGTTGGTCCATTTGATTCCATCCATGTACACTCGGTGATTGAAGTCCAACAGGTTCTTCAAATTGCCAGGCCTCTGGTGTTTGGGTGCAGCACAAGCTGAGCAGACTGTACAGCGAAGTTCCAAAGCTGCTCGAATGACCTCCGGTCTCTGGCCTTGGAGCCTTAAGGCATTGGCCAACTTTTCATTGGGAGGGTGCCCTAAGTTTTTGTGGATACGGATCAATTGGGTCTGCTTCCATGGTGGGAGTGATTTGAAGGCCTCGCTCTGTTGAACTCGATTGACTTCTATGGGACGTCCTGGATTCTCGGACAGCTGAACTTTTGGTATGGCAGTGGTTTCTGTGGTCTCAGAGGCCGGATTCGTGGTCCGCTGTTCAGAGACTTCTTCGTTCTCTGAGTCAAAAGTTTCGGGCCGCTCAGGGCTCGGCGGTTCTGGCATGACGGGCTGGGATTCTGTTGACCCCTGGGACATATCTGGGACTGCAGCAGTTCTCATGGGCAAGGTCGATGAGGCACTCCTTTCATGATCTTTGGCAAACAAAGTCACATTTAGTCGACAGGCATGGGCAGGCCTAATTAACTGTCGATTAGATAGCTCTGACCATCGTTCCCAATCTTTCTCAAACCTGACACTGTCATCATTTCGGAGGATCATCAAGGACTTTCGGTATGGTGCTGAGTCTTTATGGATATTCTTGGGGGGGCCCAAGGTGCGATCTGTGCCCCTGCATGCAAGTACGGCCATGATTTGCTTATCGGGAAACATTTCTTGCAGCTTTTGGATGATCTGATTTTCATGGATATCTATTTTTCCAACCCTGGGAACCCTTGTTTGAATCTCTTGTAGGACTTCTTGGCAATCAGCAAGACTAGGTCTTGGGCTTTGTTTGCCATCGAGGCGCCTCCGTTTCGCCATTTCAGGAGGGTCAGCATCTGGAGCGATCAATTGAGAACGCGGAAACACAGGTCGATTCCGGTTCTTGGCAAATTGGTTGGAACGCACCTGTTGGTTCACCAACACCGGCTCTGGAAAGACTAAGCCATGCAATAGTCGTCGTGCTTGCCACTTGAAAGGCCATGAGTGCTTAGAACCTACCAATATTTTGGCTACTGAACGAGCAAACTTTCGTGGGTAGATTTCTGAAAATGCGGTTCTGTGTAACATGTGTCCATTGTAGCTGATGGTCCCCTCCAAGTGTTGATGCTTATGGTCCCCACGGCATGTTCTACCATGAAGGTGTTTAAACAATTCTTCGTGGGTGGTGAGAATGTGCATTCCCTTTTTCATGAAGTCTCCACTTTTTGGATCCCGAAGGTGCCCGGCTTCGCACATATCAAACATGCATGATCGGGTGTGTTCATGTATTTCGTTCAAGCCAGGGTGGAGAAACATCAAAGATCGCTGTGGCTGTTCCCAGTGAAAATGTCGACCATGCTGGATCTGATATCTATACAACACTACTCCAAGAGCTAGTTGATATCGAAGGTCATGACGTTTTTGTTGATATTCTTCCAGATGGCCAATTGAACGGCTGGCATTTAGGGAACTCCAGGATGACCAGGGACCGCATGTCGGGCTAAACCATAGATGTTTGGGATTGTGCATGCATATCTTTTGAAAAAGCTTCTGACGACCTTCTGTTGTGGCTAAATCACCCTGGTCTTCGCCATGGCGAAATGCTTGGCCTTCCAGTTGGTGGACCTGATGAGTTAAGGGTGACTGGCTGCTACAGAAAATTTCCCCTAACACAAATGGCTTTCCGATTGCATGACACTGATCTTGGACTGTTTGGAATTCTTTGGTAAACTTTTCTATCAGGGTCCACAGATGCTGGACGTCGTCATGAACCGTCACACAGGTTTCGGCTACTTGATCTGCTCTCAGTTCAGGATCAGGATCTACTGTGTCACCTCCTCGATCTTGGACTCGAGGTGATGGATCACTCGGGACAAGGCATTCTCGAGGTTCAACATCCGATCTTGGATGGCCTTGAACTCCGGGTTTTCGGTGATGGGCTGGGTCATAGTCGTCGATGCATACATCTCGAACTCCTCCTCCGTGCCGTCGTCCAAGGAGATGGCTTGAGTTTGGCCGGATGGCCGGGCCTTCATCTTGGACTGGGGAAATACGCTTCCAGAACGGCCGGAAGTCCCTGCATAACCCGCCACGGATTCTTGGGGAGGTCGAACCGGGATGATCACCTGGTCCTTCTCGTGATGCTCGATCATCAACTCCACAAATCGGAGCAGTCGGCGGTGAGCCGGAGTCTGGCTCTTGCCGTAGTGAGTGATCATGTATGTGATCCAAGGTTGATCCTGCCATGCCTCCATGTGCGTGTGGCCCAAATGCTTTTGTCCGAACTGGACTTTCTCGTTCATCAGATCGTCCAGCGTCAAGTCGTCCAAACTGGTCAGTGGCACTGGGTCTTCCTGCTGCAACGCTCGAAGACGGGAGAGAAGCAACATGGTCTCCCTCAGCACTGTACACGCACGGCGGTGGTTGCTCTTGAACTGGGCTTTGGGCCGATGGTTTACTGCATGAAATCGATTCAGATCCAGACTGATCTGTGGCGTGGTTGGGATCAATTTTCATCATCTCATGTGACTTTGACTCTGCATGCAGGTGGTCATGCGATGACATGTTTTCATGTGGCTTCAGCGGATGCTGATTTTCGGCTGTCTTTGGGGATGATTCTGTCAACGGTTTCAGGCTAAAACCCTGATCTGGCGGTGCGGCAACATTTTCACAGGCCATGAAAGTCTCCTCTGCAAGCTTCGTTGGCTGGGGAACTGGGCTCTGCACGGATCGCGAGGCTTTCACAAGCTCATTCAGGTCTAGCAAAAACAAACCCTTGGGTGTCAACTCCAGCGGAATGGCATGGCTGAGTTGTGGACTGGTCAAAACTCTTTGATGGCAATCTACTTGGGCATGGATGGCACGCATAAGGGTATTGCTAATTAAAAATGGGGTACCTCCTGGAACTATGGCTATCTTCAGCTTCAGATTACCAATAGGAACCACCAAGGCCTGTGTGCTCGTGAGGGTGGCCTCATTGCCAAATCGAAAAGTGATACGACAGTCGCAACGGCTGATCTGCGATCGGACGCTGGCTTCAAGGCTTCGGATCAAAGTGCCAACATGGTCGGATCCAACTACTGTCTTGGATGCTCCAAGGTCAAGCACTCCACATGCATCATGAGTGGCAAAACAGATGGGATTGTGCCGATGCTTTGCAGGAACTGATGTTGGACACAAACCTGAGTGACCCTGACCTCGGAGAGCTAGCCTATGGCGAATTTCACTTGGCAGGCAGCAATCAGTGGGCAAAATCGAATGCTTGGGTGGTGCAATCTCACTCCTGGCGAGGTATCTGCGAATGCGCTCTTTGGCGCTGGAGAGTTGAGGATCTTCCCAAATAGATTGAGTGACATACTTGTTGGATTCCCCATGAATCTTATTACTATTCCCCTCAATCTTTTCCCTAGGGTCCATCCATGGAGAACTCTTTGCAAAAAACGATTCAACAACCAAAACTGGAGATTCAAAATTTGCTGCACAAAACTGAGGCTCGTCCACATTCGTCTCTGGCAATCCAAGGAATTCCAGAGGCAGGCTGTCAACTCCAGCTTCGGTGACTAGAGTTGTGGTCGGAGCTGCACTTGACGTTGTGGTGGACGGGACGTTCGACTTCATGGGACACTCGGCTTTCCACTGGCCCTTTTGGCCACATATTCTACACGAACTGTTCAAGATACGATCTTGAAGGGACCTTCTTTGCTGCTGCGGGTAGAAAGAGGATTTCCCCTTGCCACCAAACTTCTGACCAAACCCCTTTCCTTTGCCACCACCGCTAAAAGGGCGGGATGGGAAGAAACCTCGATTCCTGAACTTCTCTGCAAGCTTGTGACGCGCCTGCTGATATGCCGTCAGTGCCACAGCTAAATCTGAATCCTCTTGAATCAAATCCATGGCAGCTGCTTCGAAGTCGGCTATAAGGAGCGCATCTTGGTCTCCTTCCTGAATCATGCTGTCCAGAAATTCAGTTTCCATACCTTCATCAAGGGCTGTGAGTGTCGGGTCCTCTGAGAGGTGGCTGCCAGGCTCGTCAACAGAATCACTAACCAGTGCGGCTTGGTCATATACCTTTGATCGACCTACCTTTTTCCCAGTCATGTCCTGAAAAAACGATGCACCCAACAGCCTGATGGCCTCGCTCACCTTTTTCATTGTCAGACTTCCTGTGGTCTCACTGTCCATGATCACCTTCTTCTTCTCGTCGGCCGACAGCCGTGACCCTCGCAACACTATGTATGCTTGCAAGTCAGCTATGGTGATTTTTCGGGCAAGCAATCTGCTCCACAGGATGTCTGCCCTGGCCAGAAATGAATCGTTTGTTTCGTCTGTTTTCTGCAAGGTGTGGTAAATCGCCTGTTCAGCGTCTTCATATTGGCGCTCAAGCGGGATTCTTCCCCATTGACCACCCAGCAGTTCGACCAGTTTGTGAATTGAAGCTTCCTCTCCTGAGAGTAGTTCAGTCTGATGTATCTGCAGTTTCTGAAAGGCCGTCCCTTTTGTGTTCAGGATTAGTCTGGTGACTAATTCTTTCAGTTTCGTAGGTGGCCATGCGGCCAAAACCAACTCCACCTTTTGCTGGTATACCAACATGTCATCAACTGCCGGATCAAAACCAGGTACCAGTGAAGATAGTTGATTGCTAACTCCATTGGATCCACCACCAGATTCAGTCGTCATAGTTGCCCCGGATGCCCCTTGCGGGGCTCCGCTACCAGTATGATTGGCAGCACACTAGGAGTCACTGAGTCTGAAATCAATGGAAAAGGATGTAAGCTGCCAATGTCCCAACTGTCCAAAGCCAACCTGCCACCAGCAAGGAAACGATCGGTCGGCCTGTTTTCCCAGATGTCGCAGGAGGTCTATGGTTTGAGGTCCACGCCAGGCAAAACGGAAAGGCTGGATAGCCAAGCACGAAGGATTCCCTGATCCTAAAGGTGTGACCCTGTCACACGCAGGCAAATGGCTCAAAGGGCACGTTACCTCTGCCCAACCCTCCACTGGCTCGCCTCGAGCCAAGGTGCCTTTGGAAGCACATGGTTTTTGATCAAGTTGGACCTGGAGTTGAAGTTAAAATGGAAAAATCACAATGCATATATGCATATATGCATATATGTATCTATGTATCTATGTATCTATGTATTTGTGTAAACGTATTTATACATATACATAAACGGTTGGTATTGTATATGTGCATACATGAGTATCAGTGTATGTCACTGTATCCGCTGGGATATTGCATGAAGTCATAGTCCGGCATGGTTCGCAGGTCTACCGCGGACAGTTCTGTGAGGATTGCATGTCGGGCGAAGGGCGAATGCAGTGGCGCGATGGTCGGGGAAACCTGGGCTGCGGGCTGCTGGGGTACTTGGGAGCAGGCCAAAGGTTACTGTTCTAACCTTGGTATACCATGGGAATTTAAGCCTCTGTAAGTTGGGATATATATACATATATACATATATTTATGCATGTATGTATGTAATGTATGTAATGTAATGTAATGTAGTGTAGTGTAGTGTAGTGTAGTGTAGTGTAATGTATGCATGCATGCATGTATGCATGTATGTATGTACATGCATGCATGTATGTATGGATGCATGCATGCATGCATGTATGCATGCATGCATGCATGTATGTATGTATGTATGCATGTATGCATGCATGTATGTATGTACATGCATGCATGCATGTATGTATGTACATGCATGCATGCATGTATGTATGTATGCATGCATGTATGTATGTATGCATGTATGTATGTATGCATGCATGTATGTATGTATGCATGCATGTATATATGCATGTATGTATGGACATGCATGCATGCATGCATGCATGCATGCATGCATGCATGCATGTGTGTATGTATGTATGTATGCATGCATGCATGCATGCAGCATGTATGCATGTATGTGTGCATGCATGCATGCATGTATGTATATATGCATGCATGTATGTATGCATGCATGTATGTATGTATGCATGTATGTATGTACATGCATGCATGTATGCATGCATGCATGCATGTATGTATGCATGCATGCATGTATGCATGCATGCATGTATGTATGTATGCATGCATGTATGTATGCATGCATGTATGTATGTATGCATGCATGCATGTATGTATGTATGCATGTATGTATGTATGCATGTATGTATGTACATGCATGCATGTATGTATGCATGCATGTATGTATGTATGCATGCATGCATGTATGTCCCCTATTGCAACTGGAACTGTACTCAAAACCAGAAAAGCAACAAGGATTGACACTGCCATGCCGGGTTCGGTGTTGGCCTAGGGTTCATGGCCAGTGATGGGATCTGCAACAATTGGGCCTGTTGAGTTGGTGAATTTGTTATTTTTTCCCAAGGTGTTTTGATGTGCTGATTCTCTTGTTGTCATTGCCATGGTCAAGTTAGTTGGATGAACCCAGTCCTTGGGAGACGGTCACTTCGAGATTCAGATTGATCCATCGGATGGATTTCCATGTTTCAGTTCGAGTTTCATGGGATGACCATAAACCATATATAAAGATATCTTTATATATAATTATATATATACACAATTATATATATATATATAAACCATATGTAATCCATATATAAACCATATATAAACCATATACTGATGTTTGAATTGATGTTTGGATTCCAAAAAGAAACTCATGGGATGACCGAAGATTTGCCAGTTGGCATCATGATGCGCCATTTTTCAGGTGTCGAATACATTGGCCAGTTCGTTGCCAACAAGTCCGGCCTCACAGCACCGCAGGATACCGCAGGGCTCGGCGAGTTCGCTACTTTCGATTTGACAACATGTGTAATTAATAAATTGATAACACATATATTATGTACACAATATAATTAATATATAAATACAATTAAATACACACACATACATGAATATTTACATATTATGTCTATACATGTAGATGTGTAAATAAACGTATGTTTGTGTGTATATTTAATGTATATATATATATATATTATAAACATACGCGCAAACCCTATGTCTCGCTGTCGCTTCCAATGTCATTTGTCTTTCCAAAAATTCTCATTTCGCGCGGACCCAAACGCGATTCTTCAATTTCAGTTAACCAACAAGTATACATTTTTACCTTAAAAAGGGTGCAACGTCCGTTTTGCGTGGCAGCAAGAGCGTGTTACAACTTCCTGAAAACATCAAAACCGCATAGAACCCAACCGCATGCAAACAGCGCCCCTCTTCACCCCGGCTCCCACCCCACACCGAACCCACCCTCCCCCAAACCAACAACGACCTGGAACAAAATATCGGCGAAGAACACATCAGCCCTGCGCCTGCCAACGAAAAAACAATTGGAGTCTTTCAGAAGGTAGAAGGCCAGAAAACCTTGAGCCTGCCACACAAAACGGATGTTGCGCAATTTCAGACACAGGAACAGAAAATCAAAGTTACACTTTCAAAGCGTTAAAACACGCGAGAATCACCTGCGCCTGCAAACGAAGATGAAGATGGATTTTCTCGGTCGGTCACAAAATCCTGCGCCTGCCACGCAAAATGGACGTTGCACGGTTAATTGCTGGCAGCAGGGTTAAATGCGTTGTTTTTTACTAGCAATCGAAAAAAGTTTCGCCTGTACAAAACGACAATTTTGAAGCCACGAAATGGCGATTCAAGCAACGGCGAGACAGAGGGTTTGCAGGTATACATATATCTACACACTTATAGACATATACATATGTATATATATATATACATACATACATACATTTATGTACATATTTATATAGAATTCACAGGTAGTTATACAAACACGTTTATATACGTGATGTACATGTATCTCCGTTCTTACAATCCCAATAAAATGAGGTGGGGTCGGCCCCATCAGTTTTGGCGGATATCAGGTATATACTGGCGGATATTATCCACTGGTGGATATAAAGTTTTAATGTTGCCACATCATATTCATAACCCCCACTCAAACATACTTGGGCTGCAGATAATCTGGGCTGTGCTTAGCTTTGCCGTGTTACTGTTTTGGCAGACATGTTTTGTCTGGATGCCCTTGTGTTTTCCAGCGCATGCTGGATGAACTCTCCTTCTTTTCAACAAAAGCTGTGCGTTCTTGGTGACTCAATATTTTTGACCGTGACATTGCCCTTCATGGACAAACCAGGGAGGGAGAGGGGAGGGAGGGCATGTAAAAAAATCACAACCTCTTCGGTATGTATGTATATTACATATATTATCTTCTATATCTTCTATCTATCGATCAATCGATCTATCTACCTACCTACCTATCTATCTATCTAACTTATCCTATCCTATCCTATCCTATCCTATCCATCGATCTATCTATCTATCTATCTATCTCTATTTGTTTCCGTTGTGGAAGCGCCGCTTCGACATAGGTCTTGTTGTGGAAGGTGAAAGTATCTAAGCTGTGACAGAACAGCTTCAGAGGGCAAAGGGCTGGTGGAAGCGCCTTCCACCTGGAAGGCTATCAGCCCGGTTTTCAAGATTTGGGTTGCCATTGACAGGCTGATGCTGATTCAAGTGACAAGATTTTACGGAGGATGTGGAAGTTTACTGGCAACCCAAGCCTAGTTTTTTTTTTTGAGGCTCTGACTTTGCGGTCTCAACATTCCTTGCGAACCGTGGGGGGTCGTGTTGCTGTGATTTTCTAAAAAATATAAATAGAGAACCGACCATCAGCTGGAGTAGGGAGGGATATCATTTACATATCTTATACACATATATCATATATATATATATTGACAAATGTCTGTATATATATATATACACATACATATATACACATATATATATATATATGTATATATATATATATGTACATACGTGTATACATCTGTGTATTCGATCCATATTACATATGTATATACATATACGCATCTTTATACATATATAACATTTCTATTTCCGCATATACACACATATGTGTATATATATATATTCAAACGTCCGCATATGTATATATTTGTAATTATTTGTACAATTACATTCCTACGTAATGTACACACCTCTTTCCCTCTTTCTGTCTCCCCCCTCTCTCTCTATGTATATATATTTACATATAGACATGTAATGTCGAACATAAATACATATATATATATATATTAGAAACATGCCTAAGTGAGAGGCAAAAGCAACATTGCAAGCTGTAACCGAGGCGAGAAGGCTATGGCACCATGACATGGATGAGCGGCAGGTGTGGCGCTGCAGCATGGTTTTCTTCTGATTGTGCCATGTAGCAATGCATCTCATAACATACAAACCACCAATATATTTGTACAGAATATTTATCATGTATATATATATATATTATATTGTATGTTATATATATTATATATTATATTATATTATATGTTATATAATATATAATATATTATATATTTTATATAAAATATATTATATATTATATTATATATATAATATTATATATAATATATAATATAATATATATATATAATATAATATATTATATATGATATATAATATATTATATATAATATATAATATATATTATATTATATATTATATATTATATATTATATATTATATATTATATATTATATATTATATATTATATATTATATATTATATATTATATATTATATATTACATATTATATATTATATATTATATATTATATATTATATATTATATATTATATATTTAATATATAATATATAATATATTATATATTATATATTATATATTATATATTATATATTATATATATTATATATTATATATTATACATTATATATTATATATATGGCATGTGTATATATATATACTAGATAGATACTGGTACCAACTACAATCACATGTATATATTTACATATACATTACACATGTTCTATATATCATAGCGGGTATCAGTGCCAATTGCTCTGGGAAGGTGGGTGCTTATCTGTGTATCCCAATTGCAGGCACTTGCTGAGAAAGGTACGGCACCATATCTATCCATATCACAGGAATGTGCTGCAAAGCAATTCGGAATGATGTGGAAACAGTAGAAACGTAGGCAATACAGTAGCTTACAGTTTTCCAGCTGTATGATTGCGACACAACCTGGCCAAGACACAACCTTCAAAAAAGTGACACAAGCATCCAAAGACGTGATGAGTTTTGCTTGCCAACTTGTTGGAAACCCCAAGTGATAGGCCACAACCCATCCAAGAGACTTCCACATAAGAGCCACGTCTGACACGTCTGACACGTCTGACACCCGCACCGCAAACCCTCATAAAAATGAGCAAACTGGTGCGGCATCTAACCCATCCAATGATGTTGGACACGGTTTTCCAAAAACTGAACGTCAAAATGATAAACGGGCGAGGCTTTTTTGGAATAGGGTGATTAGTTATGCAATTTTTACAGAGTTTGACTTGAGTGTGTTGTTTGGTTTGTGTATGACAAGTCAGCACGAAAGCCTTAGTCCATTGTTTTTTCCTACTATGAAGTGCAATCGATGATGTTGGCTAATGAAAAACAAGATAATCTCAACTGCACCTCTCAATCCGAGGTCTACCAAAACCACTGGGAATTTGAATCACATTAGCACATATGACAGACTGGAACCCATTTTAAGGGACTTACCATGATTTCCCCCTTGGTGACGCTCCAATCCCACTTCAGAGTGACAGGGGTTTTATTTTCACCGTGAAAACAGGTCAACACATTCTTTTTTCTAAGTTGTAAGTTGTAAGCATGTTCAAATCCATTTTTTCTAAGTTTTGTTTTTTAACATGTGACAAAAACCCCTTAGAACAGCACTCTGAGTGACAAGTCGCGCAAAAATCGCCGCCAGGTGGAAGAAGTATGCTGGACAGTGGAAAGACGGCATGCAGAACGAAGTAGGCGCCGCGTGGCTGGTTTTGGTTCCCCAAAGTCGCCCCAAGTTGTCGCAGATTAGCTGGTAACTTACCTACCAAAGTTGGTGCAGATGATCGTTTGGAATGGGGCGCAGATGAGGAGTGAACCCTGGTTTTTGAGGAGTGCTTGTATATCCGTGTATCCAGTGGTATTCCAGTGGTTAGGACCTGTTAGGAGAGCGGATAAAGGTATCCATTTTCCCGCACACACTCATGATAGTTGTGCATGACTTTTTTGCGTTTTTGATACTCTTTGTTCAATCTTTATTGACTTCGAAAGGCATGAACTTTGAGGACAGCGTATTGTGTCAATAGGGTGTAGTTGGCGTGGCTTCTACAGGTATAACCGGTATAACCATGGTAATAACACCCATAAATATCATAAATTATCATAAAATTGGGACATGGGGCCCTTGTAATGGCCATATACACACTTAGTGAGTGGAATTGCATCCCAAGTGGACTTTGGAATTCCCAGCTTGGTCGCACCAGGTGTCTTGGTCGACCACAACGACCAGGTCCGGTTCTGTTCGACATGATCAGCTCATATGGAAGATTATTTAAGAGCTTTGTGGAACATCTATGACTGGTTGGTGGTTTGAAACATGGCTTTTATTTTTCCATATATATATATATTTATATTGGGAATGTCATCATCCCAACTGACGAATATATATATATATATATTGGGAATGTCATCATCCCAACTGACGAACTCCATCATTTTTCAGAGGGGTAGGTATAGCACCAACCAGAATCTCTTTTGACCCCAACAAAGTCTTGGTAACACCGATTATTGCCAATATGTGTTTTCACAAACTGAAGACGAAAAACGCATGTGTGCCTTTGGACTTTTTTCGATATGACATGAGTTCAGATGACACATAGTGTTGCAACGAATTCACAGGTTGGAAGCTTGGATTTGATGCCATAGTGGGATCTCTGGGCTATTCCAGAGGATTCCATAGGATTCTATTGGATTCTATTGGTGTTTCGCCTGCAGTTTCCAGGAGTTCAAGGGTTTCTTCAAGATGGGCAAGTTGGACTACTGGATTGATGAGCGATGAGGCTTGGTCCATGTCCTGTGGTAGCCTTGTGTGGCCACATAGCCACAGTTGGACCCTTTTTTTTGGTCAAGAGAAGTAGTGATTAACTCTTGAAGAAGCAGCATCAAGCAGCATCAAGCAGCATCCTTTTGCATATCTACTTGTGTAAGTGAAGCAGTACGTTTGGCGAAGCCTGAAAAGCTGAAAACTCAACTGCCATTCACAGTGAGACGTGCATAGGGAAAGACAAATCCCTCTTTTGATTAGAAATCTGTCACTCCCAAAGGACCATATCCATAGGCTGAACATCGTTGGACTGGCCCTCCCCAGTACATTAGGACAGTGCACCGCTACTAGGTGAGTAGATTTAATGCAGCATCTGTGGTTGCATAATTGCATGTATTGTAGTATGCAAAGTGGTCAATAAATATCCACAAGCAAAGTGTTCCATAGTAGTGCACCATCCTGCATTTTGGCAACCCATTGAGGTTGCGGCAATCGGGCTCATACATTTGCAGTGTATCCATTCGGAAAATGGGCTGTGTTCTCCCAGCGGTATCATAAACATGTGAATCCTACAAGAAGAGTCGCATAATGTGGTAAACAACAATTCAATAAACCTACCCTTTGAGGATGGGTTTTACCAACCATTTATGGTAATATGGGATGGTCTAGTCTATTATTGTTTTTATCGGATTTACATTGATTTACCACATTATGTAGATTGTGATTTCACAAACTCAAGCAAGGCCAAAGTTTCCAGACTAGCCAGCCACACAGGAAAAACACTTATCCTTCGTGGGGGATGCTGATACAAACAGAACATCTGACATCGCCACGAAAACCAGACCTATGCACCTAATCTTTCTTCGTAGAGCCCATCAAAACATCTGCCAGGCACGGAATGTAACGAAAAAATGAAGTAACGAAACACATCTTGACGCTGATGTATCAAGCTCACTGATTTTTTCATCGTTCGGCTTCTGGACAGGAAAGTTTGGAAAGCTTGGGGGATCCCATTTTTTTGTCCGAATCTGGATCAACTCAACTGATTCCTGTGCCTGGCGAATTCTGACCTGAAACATCGAAATGACAGAAAAAATAGAAAGCTGATGTACACGTGCACATGAATAAATATAGACACATAGACACACTCATATTCATGCAGGTAAATACAAACGCACATCGGTGTATTTTTGTGGAGCAGATACTCCTGGTACATCGTACTGAATCCATTGATTACACTTATCACATGGTTTTACGAACGACACATGACACGACATGGCACCCAGGTCACCTCCCAGGAGTTCTTTCAACGGGAGGCCACAGGCCGCAGCTGGCGATGACGAAGCCATTCTGCATCCTTCTGCATCAAGCGGCGTTATGAAACATCGGCAAGCTGTATACGGTCTGTATACGTCTATGGTTTTTGTTGATGCCAATAGCTTTGGGATGCTTTAGGCATAGAGGGTACACGTCACGACATATGGATCCAGGGCTAAGTCATGCTTGCTGTCTTCAAATTGACGGCCTTTGGGCTCAGTGCTTGAGCCCTTCTCCAGCAAAAATGATTCTGCAAGCGCTGCAGCGAAAGAGAAATTATGTCCAGTGGTGAGTTCCTGGTGGAGATCGCAGTCCACCCCCAAACTTGACAGCGTCATCGCAGTGCAAAAACACAGTGAGACTGGCGATGCATCGATTTCTTGTGATTTGTGGGATCTAAACCTGGACTGGTAGTGAGCACTGCCATATATTGCCATCATTTCTGAGATAAATTCCATGTTACTGTTACATTTCCATGTCGTATATATAACAAAAAAAGTTGAGCCATTGGAGGCCCATATTGGGATGCCTGAAAGATCCTGAAACATCACAGGTACTTTGCGAACATCCGGGACGATGCCAAGGTTAAGGTGGGTTGCGCCTCAGATCTACACCGGTACTATGAGGAGCGGACGCGGATTTTTCGGGTGCCGAAGAAGCCAATAATGGAGGGATAGGAACGTCGATCTTCCCGGAAATTGATGACCATACCCATAGGATCCATGTATGGAATATTTACCTACATTGGGATTATTTTAAATTACTTTAGGGGTCAATGTAGGTAAATATTCCATACATGGATCCTTAGGGATAGAATCAGTACATGCTTTGAACGTGGCACATGTAACAAAGCAGGTTCGCATCGTGTAGTGTTCTGCTGTGTGTGCGTCGACCTTATCCAGGTTTCCTTTCCACAATGTTTATCACAGGCCAACGTCATGTGAGCAATGATTCGTGATTCTGTGCAAGTCCCTGTTCCTTCTTTGTAGTCCATGTCATCATTGCTGCACTTCATGGACCATGAAGGAAGTCACAGACCACTGTCATACCAATGCCGATCATCACCAACATTTTTGGGGAGTAATGACATTGCTGGTACTGATCATGCATCGATTCTCATGTCTTGTTCCCTGCCCCGCAAGTGGGGTAATTTTGCAGAACTCAGTGGCCATACTTATCTCATCTTATTTCACCTTCTGACCCTCATTTGCCTAGATAATCAGAATATATCAGAATATAATCAGATAATCATCTACCAGATCTACCACACATATTCAAACATAGGAACTTCAAAAGGCTGAAACCTTCTCAAACCCGTCAGGGGTCCCATCATGTCCCATCTGTAGGACATCGCCCCAAGCTTCACCCTGGCTTTGTCGGTCGACCAGCTGAAGCTGTTTGGGAAACCCAGCTGGAGATTGAAACTCCGGCGGTTTTTGGAGGATGATGGGCAACTTGTGACGCACGTTGTGACACATGTATACAATTGTATACACAATTATACACACATGTTAGATTCGTTAGATATTGCCTGATATTGCTTGTTTGTGACCGGTTTAGATGGTAGTCATAGTCGTCATAGTCTTGAGAGAGAGAGAGCCACCGGAGGTGTGTAATTCTTTTCAAAACGCAGAAGTTCGAGTTCCATTTGCCACTTCCCTGGTGCTCTGACATCGATTTGACAAACAGATTGGAAGTGCTTCCCCAGACTGTCGTGAGAGTTTTTTTAGGGCGGTGTCATGCCTAACTACGTTGCCATTGAACCATTGATATACCGCATGCGTGCGGATCGTTCCAAGTAGCTTGCAATAGTTGGCAGACATGATGATCGGGCACCTAAGCCACGATCTTCTAGCTCCCCCAGCACATTGGGTCAACACTTTCTTCTAGTGGTTGCCTTTGATCGACCTGTATCTGAACCAGACTTTACAAAAATGATCAGACAGGCACACTGGCGCACAGGCACGCACACACATCTGCATACCACCATGGCACCATTTTTAAAAATCAACCTTTGCTTGGAGAACTACATTTTGTCTACACTATCCACTTCAATAGTCACCTCATCAGTCACCAGTCATTCAGAACTGGACTCCCTTCCTCCACGCCATGGACGATATGGACGGTGACGATGACGAAGTCAAGGACGATGAGACGCGATGGGCCGAAGGTCGCGAAATGGCTTTGGACTTCATGGCGAGGAACTTCTTCAACCCGTCACCTGGCACCAGGGCACCATAGGGCACCATAGGGCCCCGCTAGGTGTGGTGCAGATGCTCCAGTCTTCCAGGTGTATCTCCAAGATGGGCGCCATGCCGGGACGATGGAATGGGTTCCAGGTAGATCTTTGAGATATCCAGGTAGATATCTTGAGATATCGCCTCACAATTCCAGATGCCCAATTTTGAACATCATGGTTTTTTTTGGGGATCAGAGCCAAATAAACACAGCCATAGCTAAACACAGACCTTTCTGCTGTGTTTCGAGGCAGCACTTTCTGCTGGTTGCTGACATCTCCTCTGCAGTGGCCAACGGCAACGGTAACGGCTCCAGCCATGTGATTGCCGCGGCCTCACGGGTGTTGGATGGCTATGGAGTGAAGGTGTCGAAGGATGAGCAGGAGCTGCTGGAATCTGCTGGAATCATCTGGAATCCGGGGGAGAAACACCCAAAAATTCCGGTAGACCTCTGGGTGGGATGACATCAAAGATCATCAAGTTGATCATCAAAGATCATCAAGTTGATCATCGAACGCACTGGCATACGAACGTACAAGTCTGATAGTGGGTGAGAGTCTCAGCAGCGTAATGGTTTAGCAAAGTATGAGATAGTATAGACTAAGTATGTTTTATTCTCATGGAAGATTCCAAGATGTAGAAGTGATGCAGTTGACCGCAAGTGGATAAAGGATTTTTCAAGGGTGTTTGATGCTTGTTTGCCTCACCAGGATGCATTGACAAGGATGAGTCAAGACGAGCAAGTTGAGAACTTGATGTCCAAGATTCCTCAAGGCCAAAGTTGACAGTGCCAAGTGAATTTTAAGCAGCGAAGCGGAAAATTTTGAGCTCCGCAAAGTCCATGCATTTTGAGGACCTGTCATCCCCTTTTTCAGACAGAAGCAGCCCCAAGTGGCAAATTTTGGCAGGTGATTCTCAGTTTCAGGACTTCTTCGTGAAGTTGCAACATTTGGTGCTCAGCATCTCGGTCATCTCTGGGGGTTTTGATGCAGTGGTCTCTGGAGGTTTGAAAGGGAATGGACCCTGGCCTTGTTTGATTTTGGAGCCACCATCTCTACACATAGGCGCAAAAATTAGCAATGAGTACACAAGAGCCATCACAGAGCCGCAAATCAGGATTTCTGTCCTCAAGTCCGAATAGAAACAGCATGTTCAAGCTACCTTTCCTGAGGGTCAACAGCTCCCCAATCACCACAAGGTTCCACCAGAAAGATGTATAGAGTGATAAAGACGATAACAGGTTTCATTTCCGTTCACAAAAAGCCCGGGTAGTTCTACAGTAATCCTTTTGGGCGTTTGCATGGCATAGGTACTCAGAGGATTTGATGGTTGGCAATTGGGATAGATGGGTAGACTCTGTCAGCAGACAAGGCAAGTTGTCATAGTCTTTGTTTCATCCTCTGGTTTTCCGGATATGGACGACTTAGTACCTTTACAGAATGGTTTCAAATGTTTTTGAAA